TGGGCGTGGGCGGCTGCTGTTCAGGGCCTGGCCACAGCAAGCGGCGGCGTCAAGCCCCTGGGGTTGGCGCGGTTGGCGGGGGCAGTCCGGAGCGTGAGGAGGTTGGCGCAGGTTACAACAGTGAGGACGAGTATGAAGCGGCTGCAGCTCGCATCGAAGCTATGGACCCCGCAACCGTCGAGCAGGTATGGGCGGGGGGTGACAGGTGAGTGGGTATGGTGGATGGGATCCCCAAATTGGGTAGGGACCTAAGGAGGGCTCTTTGAGGTCGTTTGAAGGGGTCTACATTTTCTCTCAGAGCCTGGTACTTCTTTTCTCTGCTGGTGGGTGCGTGAAACACCCTCTTCCCTCAGCCAAGGATTTGGGGTTAGGGGCCCCACATAAGATAGACGATTTAAAGATGGGGTCTGTGGTCTTTTCTAGGACCCATCGTTGTTACTCTGGGCTGTGGAATCTCATCATGTAGGGCCAATAGGTGGAAACTCCCCAGGAGAGACAGGCAGGATGGAATGCCTCCTGAGAGCGGAGTCTCATGATTCTCCAGAGGACTTTGGTCTGTGTTTGGTGGCTTGACATTTGTTTTCCTCTGGGATAAGAGTCTAGGAGTCCCCCTCCAAGTAACACAAGGTGGAGACATTAGAGATGTCTGAGTGTCCCCAGGATACCTAAACCCTTTCAGGGGTCTGAGGCACTATGAAGGACAACCCCTACCTCCTTCTCAGGGGGGTACAGCACAGGACCACACAGCAGTGAGGTCTTAGATTCCTTCCAGAAATCAAGGTCCTGACACACACCATATGCATATCCCCCTAAGATTCCCTTCCCCTTTGGGGACAAAGGTCAAAACCAACACCCTGGGACCAGAAACTCTGCTAGGGTAAATGAGATCACCTTGTAAGTGACAAGGATCTGTGCTTCCTTTCAGTAGTCTGAGACTTCCTTGGAGATAAGAGTGTGAATCCCTCTCTAGGAGCTTACGCTTCTTTTAAGGGCTAGACCATCCTCCCTCCCAGACCTGAGCCTTTCTTCAAGAAAATGAGGCTCACTGTTTTGAATACTGGAGCCTAGGGTTCCTGCTGCTTATGGACTGGGGCTTTCAGAGACTGGGTCTGAAGCGGGAGACTGATAGCCCTCCACAGAAGCCTTTAGGGGATTTTTCTCTTCAGGGACTGGTGTCTGAGTGTTCTCTTTGGGGATCTAAGACCCACTGTGCCAAGGACACTTGAGCTCACCACTCTCAAGGACAAGAGACCCATACATACCTCAGTGACCAGTGTGTCTCTAGAGATGAGGTCCAGGTTACTCCTTCAAGGAACTTAAGTTACTTCTCAGGAACAGGAGGATTCCCCCCACCAGAATTGAGTCCTGAGACCCCCTCCCTTGGGGTCATGGATAGAGTCCCTGGGGAGTAGGGTCCTGAGTCTCCCCTCTCAAGTTTGAACTTTCCCTCAGGTGCGTGAGACACCTCCCCCACCTTGGGACCTGAGACTTGAGCCTACCCTGAGAGTACGTACTGTCACCCCACTTCAGACAGCATATGTACACCCCAGTCATAGAGGCCTTTTAGAGACATAAAATTTCCTGCTTTGGTGACTCGAGCCTAAGCCCACCGTCCACTTGTGAACCAAGTCCTGAGAACTGCTTGTTCCCTTGGGGACATGGGTAAGGTGAGATTCTGAGGGAAAGAGTCTGAGCCTCCTCTCAGGGGCCTGAGCTTCCCCTCAGGGACAAGAGATCTTTCACCTTAGGGAAGGGTTTGGGTCCCTCACCCCTTTGGTGTGAGGTCCTTCTCAGTGTGGCCTGAGACCTCTTCCATTGGGCAGAAAGACCTGGGTGTTTTTCACAGTCTTAAGAACCTCCTACCTGAGCCGGCTCAGGCTGGGAAGTTCCCCTTACTTTCTATGAGAAGGTTGTCAGTTACTGAGGAAGACTGAAGTCTCTTCTCAAGAACCAGAAGATATTCTGAGTCTCTCCCTGACCCAGCTGTGCTTCCTTCTCATTTCTAGGATCAGGGAAATATTCTGAGCTTCCTGAATTGCTTTCAGTAAGCCTGTTTCTTACTAGAGACAGAGAATGGGTTTGGGACACTCCCACTCCAGGCAAATTCTCCACCCACATTCCTCTCCCCCTTTGCTCAGGTGAATCTTTTTGTACTTTACAGGGGCCAGGATCTTGTCTTTAGTCCCTTTCCTTGTTCCCTTTCCACCCATTACTACTCCAGGCAGGATAAAACATCTGCCAAGGTCAGGACCAGGAGTTGCTGGTTAGGGTAAAATGTGCCTTTTCTTCTCCGCTGAAATAGGAGTGATACTTCCCTGGTCCCAGGGACAGAGAGGAAGAGAAAGTCACGTGCTGCCATGGTGACTAGAAAGACACCTCCTGAGACCCCCATTGCACCTTTTAGGCTGAGAGTCCCTCCCTTGTAATTGTCCCCCTAAGAACATGGAAGTAAAGCTCTGTGGTTGTATGATACCTTCCCTTCCCAATGACAGGGGGGAGGCTTCCGTGTCCTCCCGCTTCTTGGGACAAAAGGAGGAAGAAGATGCATCTCCTTGCCTCCCCTGGTTCAACTTGGGGTTGAAAGAGGGAAGATTCTTCCTGGTGCCCCAGGCTTGGTCCTGAATCATCACTGGGGGCATTTGTAACCTGGAGGCCAATTAGATCCCTTGGGAAAGAGGGGAGTTGTTGAGAGGGATCCCAGATGGTGAATGTGGTCCTTGTTGTGACTACTCAGACTTCCTGTCTGTCCTGATGCTGTGACTGTATCTCTACTGCCTTTAGGAGCCCTTCTGGCACCCTGGGGTCTCAGTGCTGGGAAGGTGGTGGTGTCAGGGGTTTCCTTTCTCAGGCATGGCTGCCTTGCCGAGAGTCTCCTCTGTGCAAAGAATGACTTGAAAGTGTCCTGAGCTTGAGGACCCCACAGAGCATTTTAAGAAGGGGACCCGTGTGCTGATGTGGTAGGAGAAATTGAAACTGGCACTGTAACCAAGGTACTTGGGTTCCCATTCTGGCTCTGCTGGGGCTTTGCTGGATGAACCAGGAAAGTTCTTGTTGTGCTCTCTGGGCCTCAGTTTCTTTGTTGGTCAGGTAAGGAGCTGGTGAGGAGGTATCACTTAGCTTTGGGATTTTAAAGAGCTCACACCAAAGCCCTTTGAACCTGGAGGTGGCAGAGAATGGTGGGTGTCTTTTGAGGAAGAGCTGGGTTCCTCCCCTCTCTCCTCTGCCCCTCTGTTCCCTCCCAGCTAACGAAGCTTGGTGGTCAGGACAAGCGCCCTGGTCAGTGTGAGGCTCAGGGTTGGTGAACAGTGATTTTTGTGGTTGCTGGACTGTGGTGAATAAGCTCAGGGGTTGCCTGTTGGATGGTATAGAGTTAAGAGTCGTGTGTAGAAAGAGCTTAGGCTTTGGAGCTGGGTGGGCCTGAGCTCAGACCCCAGGGTCTCCTGCTTAGCTGCCAAAAGTCCACCCATGCCAAGGGTTATTGAGAGTCTGAATACCTGACCTGGTCCACCTCATATCTTGGCTGATTCTTTTCTTGCAGTTTCCCCAGGATCATCTGGGTTCTTCTTAAGAGCCTTTGCAACAACTGATTTTTGTTAGCAAGGGCCCATTTGGCATCTAGGAACCTACTGATTTGTCTGGGGAGGAGGCAGATTGGTATTGCAGGAAGTGGTCCCTGCCTGGTGGTCTGGGTTTGAGTCCTGTATCTTCTGGCAGTTCCCTTTTCTGGGCCTCGGTTTCTCCATCCATAAAATGGGTAATGGTGAAGAGGGAGGTTGGACTCATTGTTCTGAAGCTACTTGTATTCTCTTTAATTCCCTGCTTCCTACCCCCTTTGAGTGGGGCCCCTTGGCTTTTGTGGGTGTGCTATGAAGTTTCAAGCAGTTATCGGCTTCCCTCTCCCCAGCCAGTGCTGTAGGCCCTTGTGTGTATGCTTCTTTTTAAACAGGTTTATTGAGATATAATTCACACATCATACAGTTTACCAGTTTAAAGTGTGCAGTTCAGTGGTTTATGTTTATGTTCACAGAGTTGTACATCCATCACCACAGTCAAATAATTTTAGAACATTTTCTTCACCTCAAAAAGAAAGCCTACATCATCATCATCATCATCATCCCCCAGTCTTCTCATCCTCTGTCAGCCCCTGGCAACCACTAATCTACTTTTTGTCTTGATTGATTTGTTTATTCTGGACATTTCACATAAATGGAATCATACAGTATGCAGTCCTTTGTGACTTGCTTCTCTCACTTGGCATAACGTCAAGGCTCATCCGTGTTGTGGCACGCATCAGTACTTCATTGCTTTTTGTTACAGAATAATAGAATCTTCGTTTTTTAAATACCACCCCCTCACCCCCCACCCTCACAGTGGTCTGGCAATAGGTTTGGGACCTTGCTCTTTTCTGATTCCTCTGCCCTGGAGAGCTTGTGTTAATCCTTGGAGAGCAGTATGTCTGTGTTTCTCATTGGATGAGTTTGCCTATGTTTAGCCCGTGGAGCCGAGCCAGTGTTCCTGGGTGTTTGAGGGGGAGAGAGGGGTGGTCTTGGCACCAGGCTTGCTGGGACAGAGCTGTGAAGCCCAGAATACTAAACATCTCTTGGCCATGGGCTCTGGGAAGACATCTGTCCATGAGCTGCCACTGCTGCTGCCATCTCCCCCTGCCTCCTCCCCACTTCAGTGGCAACTCATTCATTGATAGGCAGGGTCAGCAGCTTCCCAGGCTGGGAGGGAGGATTCCAGACCCCTGCAGCCTTAATTCTAACCCTTTCCCTAGAAGGATGCTAATGAGATGGGTCCTGGGGGATGGGAGCCATGCCATGTTGCCCAGGGCTCACACCAAGGAGTGCTACAAGGCGGTTGTAATCATTTCCTGTGGCTGCTGTGACAAATTACCTGGGTGGTTTAAAATAACAGAAATTTATTTTCTCATAGTTCTGGAGGCCAGAAGTCCAAAATCAGTTCTGCTGGGCCAAAATCAAGGTGTTGGCAGGGCCACACTCCATCCAGAGGTTCTGGGGGAGAATGCAGTCCTCTTCCAGCTTCTGGTGGCTGCCAGCATTCCTTGGTTTGTGACCACATCACTCCAACCGCTGCCTGGCTTCTGTGTATGGGTGGTCTCCTGTTCTGTCTGTATCATGTCTTCGTTGGCTGTTCTAAGGACACTCGTGATTGCATTTAGGTCTTACCTGGATACTCCAAGATAATCTCCACATATCAAGATTTTTAACCACATTTGCAAAGACCCCCTTTCCTTATGAAGTAACATTTACAGGTTCCAGGGATTAGGGCCTGATACCTTTGGGTTGTCGTTATTCAGCCTACTACAAGGGTGTTCTTGTTTGCCTTCCAGAGAGAGGAAGAGAAATCATTAAGTGCTCTCCTACTGGGCAAAGTCCTGTAGTATTTGTTTGTTCTATATCCCTATTATTGGGAGGTTTGTTATCCCATTTCACAGATTGGAAAACTGTAGCTCAGAGCAGTTCATCACATGGTTAATTGAGGGGATTGGTGGAACTGGATTGGAACCTAAGTCACTTGGGTCCCACAGCTTGCTTCAACTTCTCTTGTGCCTTTGGACCAGTAGATTGCAGAGTCTTGCATCTAGGATTCCCTGGTGTCAGAGAGCTTTGCCTGGCCCCTTTCTGGAGGCTCAGAGGTAGGGAGGGAGTTACCCACAGGCTTAGCAGTGGTCTTGCAAGATTCAAGATCTGGACTTGACTTTCTTAGGCCAGAGCATTGATGTAGCTTAAATGTATCCGTGGTTGGGCCAGCTCTCACCTCTCACTCCCATCAGCTCTTTCTTCCTGGGCCATTTTCCTGAACAACTTCTAAGTTGGCACCTACCTTGGAGGCTTCTGTCCAGCTAGGGGAAGGAAAAGACTGTGCTAGAAGCGGGACTCTGAGCTCTTTTTGGAGTCCAGGATCATGACCTCCCTGTTTCCTCCCCTCAGAGAGACAGAAAGGGTTCTGGAGCCCAGTCTCCAAAGGCTGCTGGTGCCAAAGCCAGTGGGTGGCTGGTGGTCTGACCTCCAGATCCAGGCCCAGATATCAGTCTGGCTGCCCTTGCACATGCTTGTGCGGAGAGTGTGCTCAGACCTCCATTTTTAGGGACAAACCAGGATTTTCTCAGGAGGGGCTGCCAGGTATATCTCCGTGGTGTGGCTCATGGGGCTCCCCTTGTTGCCTCAACACTAGGCTTTGCTGGTGCCGAAACCCCAGTTCCTTTCTCCCTTTGTAAAAATGAAGATGATGCTTTCTGCCACCTGGCCTACTTACCTGCCTACTCCTATCCAGGACTTTAGCTCTCCTGAACTCATTGTTGGGTCTCTGTCATCCTTGGGGTGGCAGAAGTGATTTCTTATCCAATTAACAAGCATTTCTGGAGGTTTTGGTGTTTTAATCCTTTACTCAGGTGGCATCTCCTTTCAGCCTTAGTGACTAGCCAGGTCTCTTCCTCTGTTTCACAGCATTCCTGTGTTCACCTCTTTCAAAGCCCTGCTCACACTTGTGTGTGATCATCACCTGTTTCCCTGTCCCTCTAGCAGTTTATGAACTTATCGAGGTTGAGACCAAGTCTGATTCATTTTTTTGTCCTCATCACCAGCCCAGGGTCTGACTTGGTAGCTGCCAGGTAAATCTTTGTTGGATGAATAAGTAGGAGCTCCTCTTGTCTTCTTTGATCCGTTTTCTCCTCTCAACCCCCCCCCACACACACACATACTTGAGGTCAGGAGGTTGCTGTGTGCCCTGGTTTTTCGGAACTTCTGTCCAACCTGGGGCTGTGATCGTAGTTGCAGCTTCCCTCCTGGAGACCCCTGGCTAGGGCAGGCGCCTTAGTGCTGGGGGATGGCTGACCCTGTAGGACAGAGATAGGGGAACTGGCATGAGTGTGCTAGTCCATAGCCTCTGGGGCAGGAGGGGCACCTGGACTGCTGGAATGTTGCACACAAACAAGAGTCTTTGTGCTGCCTATAGAAGCCCATTAAGGGCTTCCAGGTGCCTTTGTCATCTCTGGAAAGCCAGCCACACCTTCCTGGAGTGCAATCCCTGACATTGGGGCTACTGGGTGTTCCCTTGTTACCCCTTCTTCATCCCTTCCTGTGTAGCCACTCACCTGGGACTTTATAAGGGCTTCTCAGTTGGGACATCATCTGTCTCTGCTGGTCTCAGCCCTTCTGTTACTGGTGAGCCCTTCTGTCACTAGTGTGTGGTATGTTGTTTAGAAAACATTTTCAGATCCTGAAGCTCCTCTGAGTCTCTTGACAGCTCTGTCAAGCAGATCACATATCCCCAGTTTGATAGGAAACTGAGGCTTGGGGAGTTCAGGTAGCTTATCTGAAATCATAAAGCAAGTAAATGATAGAACTGGGGTTCGAACCTAGAGCTTTTGACCTCTAAACCTTGTGTTTCCTACTTTGCCAGGAATTTCTCTCACTTGAGCTGGGTAAAAATGGCCTGTAGAGAGGTGATCCTCTCTGTCTGATCGGCATTAGCCCGGATACTATAAATTCCTGGGCTGGGTGGTGTCCTTGAGGAGGAGCCTTGAGATTTCTGGTCCCTAGGCCCGATGCAGGCTTGGATTGGCTTCTTCTGGTGGCCAGCAGAGGGCGCAAGGAAGCTGGGAAAGTCAGCTGCTTCTGGTTTATTTTGTTTTGAGATGGAAAATATGTTTTAAGTGACACGTGTGCTTTTTTATTTAATAGACTTTATTTTTTAGAGCAGTTTTACGTTCACAGCAAAATTGAGCAGAAGGTGCAGGGAGTTCCCATATACCCCCTGCCCTCACATGCAGAGCCTCCCCCATTATCAATGTCTCCCACCAAAGTGGTACATTTGTTACAATCGATGGACCAACATGGACACATCCATCACTCAAAGCCTACGGTTTACATTAGGGTTCACTCTTGGTGTTGTACACTCTGTGGGTTTGGATAAATGTGTAATGACATGTAAGCACCATTATAGTGTCATATAGTGTAGTTTCACTGCTCTAGGTGTCCTCTGTGTTCTGCCTATTCATCTCTACATTGTTTCTTTTAATCTGAAAGTACACATTTGTACAGGTTCACTTAACCCAAACCTTCAGGGTCAGATGTGCTTTGGAATTTAGAAAAACTTTAGAATCTGGGAAAGACTCCTGGTGTGTATATTGTGTATTATGTAACATCTCCGGTGGGGTCTGTAGCAACACCTCTTGATCAGACAGCTGAATGTTTCTGCATAGGAATGCATGCATATTCATCTCCATAGGTTCTTGTCAGCTCGGGTCAGGTTAGATAAAGACTTGGTTTTTAAAGCTTTTTGAATTTTGGGTAAGGTATTGTATATATATCTTATCAAGGAGGTGGTGAAGTAAAATCACCTGTAATACCAACCCTTAAGGATAATACTTTGTTGTATAGCCTTCCCAACTTTGTGTGCATGTGTTAAATGTGTTCAATCACAAGTGAGATCATACTTGGCATACGTCTTGCCTTACACAGTGTATCTTGGAATTCCCTAGCTATATGTGAGGCTTGAGATCTAGGCTCTTGCCAGTCACTCCCTCCTCAACATCTCCCCTAAAGTGGCTAGAGGTTCCCCAGGTGAAACTCCTTGAGATAGAGCCAGGTTCTCCCCCCAGGCATTTGCTGGGTCTGGGCCTCTGGCTGTCTTGGGGAAGGCCCAGCACTGGATTCCCAGCATGGTCAGCAGGGGTCAGAATGCAGATGGGGCCTCTGCCCTCAGGACAGCTGAGGCCCCTCTGGGAGCAAGTCTTCTGCTCACACAGCAACTGAGTTCCCTAAAAGAAAGGGTCGCCTCCTGCTCCATGTGCACGGAGTGGTCAGGCAGGGCTGAGGGCTTGACCTTGCCCAGTGTCCTCTCAGCTAATCAGCTGGGCCCCTTGGGAGCTCAAGGGCAGTGCCCTGGGGAGGGGGTACAGGCCTCTCCTGTTGCTGACCCCCCCCTCTTCCCTCCAGCAGGAGCACTGGTTTGAAAAGGCCCTGCGAGACAAGAAGGGCTTCATCATCAAGCAGATGAAGGAGGACGGCGCCTGTCTCTTCCGGGCTGTAGGTGAGTCTCTGCCTCAGCCTTCAAGGGCCTAAGGCTGCCCCTGAGCTGTGTCCCAGTTGTTAGGAGTAATTTCCATGACAGGGGTGGGGGCAGAGCTAGCTGGTTTTTTAGGGACTGCAGGCCCCAGTCTCGAGTTAGTATCTGGCTTCTAACCCTCGGTCCTGAAGCAGTGTGGTGCTGTGAGAATAATAACAACGGTAATGGTAGTGATGAAATAACATTACTTAGGGAAGGGCGCTCTGTCAGGCACTATAGGGAATCCTTTGATTCTCTCCCAAGTTAGGTAAGTATAGGACACTTGCTTCCAGTTGTCAGATGAGAAAAGTGGCTCAGAGAGGCTCGGAGTTGGGGAGTGACTTATCTAGGGTCAGAGAGTACTCAGTAAAGTCGGGAGTCGGATTCTGGATTAGGTTAGTCTGAGGCCCATGCTCCTAACCACAGCACATTGCTGTTCAGTAGAGAGAATAGTGAATCCTCATGTACCCATCATTCATCTTCAAAATAGTCATTAACATATTGCTAGCCTTATTTCATCACTACCCCACCCACTCTTTTTCACTCTCCTGAAACGAGTATTTTTAAAGCAGAATGCCAGCATTAGATCATCTCATTCGTAAATATGTCTGTATGTTTCTCTGACAGATGAGGACTCTGTCTTTCCCCTTTAACATAACCAAAATGCCATTATCATGCCTAACAAGATTAATAATTCCTTAATACCATCTACCATCCAGTCTGAACTAGATCTTTGAAGCATCTCTGGCTCTGAATCTGACACTCAGTAAGCAATTGTGAGGTCCTGTGCTGGTGTCCAGGGAAAGCTGGAAGTGTGATCTGATCCTCTGATATCTGGAGCTTTGATATCTCCTGAGGAAAAGTACCCTCCGACAGGAGCTTTGAGCTGGGAATCAGAAGTCCCTTCTAGTTCTGGCCCTGACTCATAACTTCCATTTTGCCGTCTGTGAAATGATGTTGATTCTGAAGGGCTCCTTGAATCCCTTCTGGATCTGTTATTCTCTCAGTGTGTGGGTATCCCTCATGTCTGCTGGTGGGCTAGACTGACTCAGGCTCCACTTCTGGCTGTACCACTGATTCTTGGTGTGCCCTTGAGCACACACGTCTTTTTTTTGTCTTGAACCTTGAACCTATTTCCTCGTCTATAACATGAGGCTAAAAGACACCATATTATAATGATTAAATGAGATTACTTTAGTAGATCTCTTTAGTGTCTGACATATAGTAGGCCCTCATGGGACAATAGCATTGATAAAGCCTGAATGCTGTTTTCAGTGGTGCCTCAGAGCCACAAGTGTTTGAGTGAGTGAAAGTTAAGTGGGGTGAGTGGTTGCCTCCCCATTCTACCAAGCAGAAGAGGTCCCGGCAGTGGACTCTGATGGGCTGGGAAAATTCCCAACCCTCCGATCCTTGTGGCTCAAGTCTATGTTCTCCCTGGGATGTTCCCTAGAGAAAGAGCTAGGTTTGGGGTTATTTTGGACCAAAGGAAGGCAAAGAAAGAAAAGGTGAGGGCCCATTAGGTACTAGGCCCTGTGCTGAGACCTTAGACTGGATGTGGGGTAAGCAGGGCTACTGGAGGAGTGAGGGTCAAAGAGTGTAGCTGGGCGTGTGGGTCTTGGGTGGTCTTTGAGGCAGGTCTCAGGGCTAGTGAGGACCTGGCTGGGCAGTAACCCACGTTAAGAACAATATTTGTGTGTGTTCATCTAGCTGTTTTCCTAAAACACACTCTGACCCTTCCCCCTCTTTGGGGCCTTCCAGTAAGGGGTCTGAGCTTACAGGAAGAGCTGACCACGACAGGTTGAAGGCCTTTCCCTATCAGCACAATGGCTACACATTTTCCCTGACTGGGCTGCCCTTGGCTTTTCTCCGTAAAAACCTCAGAAGCCCCATGGCCTCTCCCCCAGAAGTACATGACTCTTGGGTCTCTAGGCCTCATCTGGAGGTTTCTCTGGGGCAGAGCACACAGGACATGTACCTGGGAAGGGAACTTTGTCCTCAAGCTTTCTGCTGCTCCTCTGTTTCCAGCCTAACTTGGACAGGGACAGGCGGTAGTTGCCCTAGGCTCTTGGTAAGAAAACCTCCGGGTTCTAACTTCCTGCCACACATTGAATAGTAGAAGGAGCACATAACTGAGGGTTAGAGTTGGAGTGGGGATTGCGGACACAGAGGACGCTCTGTTCCTTGACTTCGACTGTTTGCTAGGCATTCTGCTGGGTGCTTCACATTGACCTGGAAAATTGGGATTGTTATCCCATGAGACAGGGATGAAGATTGAGGCTCAGGAAAGGGAAATGACATGCTCAGGGTCATTAATGGCACAGCTGGCATGGGAATCCAGATGTCTCCAAAGGACACATTCTTTCTGTGACCCTAGGAACACCCTAACTTCTTAGTTTAGCTATCAACTGGCTGGATGACCTCAAGTGTATTCCTTGATCTCTCTGGGCCTTACTTCTTCCAGCTAGGAGGCTGTAGTCCTCTACTGTTAGAAACCCTGAGGCAGATGGGTTTCTACCCTCTATTTTGCCTCTGAGATCTGGGTGTCCCTAGTGTAAACCAGTATCCACTGCTTGTGCCCAATTCTCTCTTCTGCCACCCCCTATTGGAGATTTGTGAGCATCAGCAAAGACTTGGGTGGAGTGGAAGTGGGAGCCTGGGTCTCAGAGGTATCCTGTGGTCCACCCTGCCCCTGCTATGCTCAGATAACCTCCTCCTAGAAACATGAGTCTGCATCTCTCCTCCCTCCCTCTCCCCATATAGCTTTGACTCAGCAAAAACCTCTGGCCCTGGCCCTGGCCTTGGTCTTGGCTTCTGTGGGCAGAGTAGAGGCCACACGTGCCTGTGCCTGCATGGGCCATGGGGATGCAGCTGGGGCTGTGTGTGTTACAGTGATGGGGCTCAAACATTAGCCAGGCCCACTGCTCTGGGCCTTTTAGTCTTAGAACATGGGCTATCAGCATTGATCTCAGATCAATTCTGACTGTTTTATAAATGGGAAACTGAGGCCTCAAGAGGTAGCCAAGGCCCTATTATCTAGGTCATACAGTCAGTATCAGAACATTGGTATTTAAGGTTGAACCAGCCCAGGAGAAGAATCCCATGGGCCACCATGTACACCAGCTTTCCTTGATCTCTCTCTGCCCTGCCTCCTTCAGTTTTCCCATCTTTGCAGTGGGGATTTTTTCCCCACCCTGGCTGCCACCCCTGCAGTGGGAATTCTTGAGTAGAGGAGCAGGCATCTCTGAGACCAGACTATTGAGAGGGCCAAGTTCTGTTGTCTCCCCCACTGAGAGTGAGGCAGTTGGGGCCATAGGCCAGGTATGCACCACAGCTACTTGACAGGCGGGTGCGGCCTTTTTCTTGGTTCATCTCCTCAGTGGAGCCAGGAGAGAAGTGGGGAACAGACCCGGTCTTGTCTCCCCGTGCTGCTATGTATACACACATTTATGTGGTTTGTTTTCAGATTGCCTGCAGATACCAGACTTCCTTTTTTGTCCTCAGTGGAACTTGCTGTGGCTCTTCTAGCAGGCAGGCAGGCAGCAGCCTGGCAGGGAGGCAATTCCCAGGTGCCTCTAGAACAAATGGTAGGGCCTTGTACTTAAACTCCTTTAGATAGTCCAGGCTCTCCTGTCTTGCTCATCCACATAATTCCTCAGCAAATAGTGACTACATTTTAGGAAGCCTGAGGAGGAAGGATTACAGAGGTTTGAGAGACCTTCTCCCGGGCAGCAGGGGAGGGAGGTTTAGGCAAGTCTGTTAGAGCTAGTGGCTACTCCCCTCTCCTACCAACCCCTGGCAAAGGCTAGGAAGGAGGTGAAGGGTTGTTCAGCCTCGCATCTTATCCAGCCTTTAGTCTTGCCTGGTTGGTGACAAGGGCATCTACTTGTTGAGTGTGATTATTCTCTGTAGTTGTGAGGGTTGTTGTGTGGCTGTTTGACTTCAGGGAACATCTTTAGCAGGATCTGCTGGCTCTGTGTGTGCACATGTGCATTTCTATGCTGGTGTCTCTGTATGTTCAGAGAAAGGACAGAAGTGGGGTGTGGGAGGGTAAAGTTCATGATGACCTCTGTGGCCCTAGTGAGGGGTACAGCCCCTGATACCTGTAATCTCTGCCCACTCACAGGCCTTTCCTGGGTTACAACTGCTTCCTGCTTGTGCTGGTGGGGAAACTGAGGCAGGCAGAATCAGGCCTGGCCCAGGGAGTCAAGTGGCTAAGGTGACAGCTGGATTAGAGGTGGTGGTAATGTCACCTGGGGAATCAGTGCTTGAAGTTACCAGTTATTCCTTGAAAGCCTGGACTCTGGGCTCTCCTTCACCCTCCCAAACGTGTGACTTTGGGCCAGCTGTGCCATATTTCTGTACTCAGTATCCCTTCTGGGTAAATTAGGGTTTTTGGGTGAGGATGGAATGTGAACCTTGAGCCTTGGTGGAACCAATTTTCATATTGTGCTGAGGCTTCCCGAGCCCTGTTTGGGTTGGGGACAGAGGTGAGGTAGTGGGGGACCCCCTTCCAGCTGGACTCTGGGAGGGAAGAGCAGGTGCAGATTGCCCACAAGTGCAGTGTCAGCAAGAGGAGGAGGAGTTTCGGTTTCTATAAAAACAAGTGCTCTGAATTCCCCTACCTCTGCAGGTCCATTGGGCCCTTTTCCCCCACCTTAGCCCCCACTGGGAAGTCTACCTCAGCCCCTAGTCCCATGTTCAAACCTTTTGGGAGGAGAAGGGCTTTCTAGAGGACAGAGATGGGGCTGGCAAAGTCAGACAAGCATCTCTTCAGTGAGGACTTCCTGTCTTCTTAGCCCTATACTGGGTGTTTTTCCTGCCTTATGTCACTGAAAAGATTCTTCTACTCTACCTCATTGGCAAAGTAGTTGCTCTGTTTCCTCAGTTCAGAGATGCACATTTTCTTCCACGTTGATGATCTCCAAATTAGGGTACATCTTATAGTCAGTGAAGTGAGCCCCCCCAAAAGCTATGATTAAATACACATACTGTATCACCTATCAGTGCATCTTAGAATTGAGAGAAGGCGGTATTTTACATTTTATAGGTAAGTAGGAAAGGTCATACCTTGCCTGCACTTAAGGACCCTATTTTGTGAGGCCTATGTTATTGATTTGATGTTATTTAGGTTGCTAAAGATTTGAATTACGGGCACAGAAGGTAGACCTGTGGACCTTTGGATTCAGTAAAGGTAGAGAGCCAGTCCTGCCTGCACGAGGAGGGGCAGCCTAGACTCCGAGTTTGGGGCTTTCCTCTAGCTGAGGAAGTGCAACAGAAATGAGGAAGGGCTTACTTAATAAGTGGTTCCGGTGACATTCTAGCTGACTTATGGGTGGCTAGCTATCTGAAGGAGTCATCGTTCTCCTTGTGACAAACAGAGCCCTGTCTCTGGAACATTTAGTATGCCTTCGGTGTTTGACAGACCATCCCCTGTAGTCTTGACAGCGCCCCATGAGAGAAAGAGGAGTTACTCTTCCCACTTTATGGATGAGGACATTATGGTCCAGAGAGGTTAAAGGCCTTGCCCAGTACCACACAGCTAGGAGGCAGCAGAGCCTTTCTGCCAGGCAAAGGGGTCAGTGTCAGGGAAATGGGGGGAACCTCTGCCACCTCTTTTCCTTGTCCCATAGTCTCCCCTCTTTCCCCCAACTTCTTGCATCTGGCATCTAGTTCAGGTAAATCTATCTCCTACGCCTGGAAATGCCTGTTGACCCTTCCCTAGGAACATCTCAGCCCCCTCCCTGAGCTTGGTAGACCGACTTCTATTTAACCCCTTCGCCCCCATCTCAGTTCCTGTTTACTGCAGCTGCTGACAGCCCTGTCTCCTTGGCACCCCAAGTTTATTCTACAGAAATAGCTCCTCAAGCAGCTCAGGCAGCCACAGTGGGTTCTGTGGTCCTGGCTTCTAAGAAAGGCAGCAGCAGGGGGCCCCCAGGCTGTGCGCAGGGCATGTGACTTGCTGGAAGTACCGCTTGGGGGGGTGGGGGAGAGCGTGGCCACAGAACCCACATCCTTGTTTACATCGGTGAAGGGGCTACCCCTTCCCGCCTTCACAACCCCCACTCCCCCTCACCTTCAGTTCTGCACCTCCAAGAGGACTTGAGACAGACATAGGCCCCATTTTCTATCTCAGAGTGGCCTTTTACTCCTTATCTCACAAAACCCTCCAGGGAGGGACAGGAAGGGCAGCGAAGGTGTTCTTCTGGCGATTCTTCACAGAGGAGGTAGACTGGCTGTCGTGGAAGTACTCTGCAGTGTTCCCTGTGGGACCTGCCCCTGACCCAGTGCCCTAGGGAGATCCCATCAGAGCAACGGTCCTCTGGGGAGACAAAGGGAAATTCCCTCTTCATCTTAGCCAGAGGGCAGCAGGCGTGCCTCATCTTCAAACCCGCTTTAATTTCCCAGGGAAGTGGCTTCCTGGCTCCCCCAGCCTACCCATCCACTCAGCAAACTGTTCCAGTTTCCTGCACTGCATCAGGCTCTGAGCAAGGGGTGGACTTGGATGTAAACCACCCTCTGCCCTCAGTGGGGGGAGCCCAGTGTGATCGGGCAAATGACGTCTGCACACACCTTTGATAAAACTGGTGATAGAGGTGCCCTGAAGGGTAGGAAACTGTCTTAAGAACTCATTGGTGTTTGACAAGTAGGCAACCGAAGAGGATGGAAAGAACATCCTAAAAAGAAGGAACCACATGTATGAAGACCTCAAGTGAGGCAGAGGGAGCCTAGTTCATATTGTGACCAAAACCCTGACACCTGAACCCCTTTGGGCCACAGGCTGCCCTTCCCGAAATAAGCTTAAGTTAGGTGCATATGTGTTTTCTCTCTCTTACAGACTACATGCTTCTTGCAGATAGGGACAGGATTTTACTCACCTCAGTGTACCCTACATTCAGGCCCCACAACAGGAAAAGGGGCTGTGAGTGACTGCTCTGTCCTAAGCCCAGTGCTAGTCACTTCACACCTGTCATCTCATTAATCCCACAAGAGAATTAAAGGAAGTTACCCAGCTTGATCCTATTTCACATGTGAGGCAAGTGAAGTTCGGAACACTTGGGTCGTTTACCTCTGGTCATTTAGTTTGCTAGTACCTACCACAACCATTTTTTCCTTTCCATTTTTTAAACCTATAAAGGCCATGCTGATTCCTGAGAATCAGGAAAACTGAATTCTAGAGTTGAAGTTGTCACAGACTAACTTTCTGTATGACCTTGGTCAAGCCACAAACTCCTGAGCCTCAGTTTCTTCATGTGAAGAGTGAAGGGTGGGGTGGTGCTTAAGGCCACTTGTGGAATTTGTAAATGTTTGTTGACAAACTCATCTACCCAAGAGGCCTGTGGTTTTGTCCCTTTCACCTGTACTCTTGTTCTTAAAGACTGTCGCTGTCTGCCTCTTTTTTCATGACCCTATTCCAGCCTACAAGGCCAAGAACTTTCCACACCTTGGGGTAGGAAAGGAAGTTTCCCTGGCCCCCAGCCCTCCAGCCCCAAGGATATTCTGTGACTCGGAACTCTTCTCTGGTGGCAGCTCTGACCCCAACCTCTCCTTCTGTCCCCGCAGCTGACCAGGTTTATGGAGACCAGGACATGCATGAGGTTGTACGAAAGCACTGCATGGACTATCTGGTGAGATCTTGCAGAGGCCTTAGGGTGGGGGCAGAGTGGGAGGATCTCCTCTCCACATAGACCTTGACCCTCTGATCTTTTCTACAGATGAAGAATGCTGACTACTTCTCCAACTACGTCACAGAGGACTTCACCACCTACATCAACCGAAAGCGGAAAAACAACTGCCATGGCAACCACATTGAGATGCAGGCCATGGCAGAGATGTACAACCGGCCCGTGGAGGTGTACCAATACAGCACAGGTACTTCTGTGGTGGGTAGGTGAGCGACTGATCATGCCTGGTCTGAGGCTGCCCCGCCTAGGCCACTGTGGGTGCTCCCTCCTCTTTCTCTTCAGAACCCATCAACACATTCCATGGGATCCATCAAAATGAGGATGAACCCATCCGTGTCAGCTACCATCGGAATATCCACTACAATTCAGTGGTGAATCCTAACAAGGCCACCATTGGCGTGGGACTGGGCCTGCCATCATTCAAACCAGGGGTAAGGAGATCCCTGTGCTCAGAATGGCTGCTGAATATAGAAGCCAGAAACCCCTGCTGGGGTCTGTTTTGCCCCTGGCCCACAGAAATGTCCTCTTCCCTTTTTCTGAGTTTGCCCCTAATGCCTCATCTCTGTAAAATTAGGGAATTACCCAAGGTGATCTCTCAGCGCTCATTCTGTGGTCTCAGTTTACCTGTCTGAGCTGGCTCACCCATCTTTTGTGCCTGTTGAGGGTTGCATTTTGGGATATGGAGCACATTTGGGAACTGTGAGCCAGGGCTTGGTCTGGGGGTCTTGGCACCCACATGAATCCTCCTCCGAACCTCAGCAGGTACAGACAGCTGTGGTCACAGATACTGGGAGTGCCGGCCTGGCCCCGCCACTTACTGGCTGTAGGACTTAGGGCAGATTGTGTAAGTAATCTGGCTGGCAGCTTAGCCGATACAGAAAGTGCCTAACACTGGACCTGGTGCCTAGTAGGTGCTCAGAAGGTGGCAGTACGTTTTCCCAGCACACACTGACAGATTCTCATTCTCTGTCTATTCATACACAGTTGCCTGCTGGGGGTTTTGATATCTCTTCTATTCAGGTTTCACTCCCTACAAACAGAAAGTGCTCCTGCTTCATTTTGGGAAACATACCCTAATACCAGCACACTGTCCAACATAGAGGGGTTTTTGTTTTGTAATTTAAATACATTTTTAATATCAGAATAGTTTTAGATTTATGCAATTACTGTGCTTAGAGAATTCCCATATACCCCACTATGATTAACATATTAGCATAGTATGTTTGTCACAGTTAATGAACGAATATTGATATATTAACTAAAGACCGTACTTTATTCAAATTACCTCAGTTTTTCCCTAATGATTTTATCTGTTCCATGATCTTATCCAGGATACCATATTAAATTTAGTTGTTGGGTTTCCTTTTGGCTGTGACAGTTTCTCCTGATTTCCTTGTTTTTGATCTGTTTACAGGCTGTAGTTTTACCTTTTCTAGAATGTCATATAATTGGAATCATACAATATGTAGTTTTTCCAGTGGCTTCTTTCATGTAACACTGTACATTTAAGATTCATCCATGACTTTTTGTGGTTTGATTGCTCGTAACTTTTATTTTTTCTTTTGTTAGAAATGTGAATGCCCTAGTGTTTTTTTTATTTAATTAAAAAATTGTTGACTTAAGAATAGTTATAGATTTACAGAAAAATTGAGACGATAGTACGGAGTTCCCATATACCCTCCTCCCCCTCGCACACTGTTTCACTATTATTAAGGTATCAGATGACTGTGTACATTTCTTATAATGTACGAACCAATATCGATATATTATTATTAGGCTCCCTTTGTGATGGTTTCTCACTTTCATGTTTTTGGTGACCTTGACAGTTTTGAGGAGTACTAGTCAGGTATATTTGTAGGATGTTTCTCTTGGAATTTGTCTGATGTTTTTCTCATGATTAGACTGGGTTTATGGGTTTTAGGGAGAGAGATCATAGTGGTAAACTGCTGTTCTCATCACATCATATCGACAGTATATCCTATGAACATGATTTATGACTGCTGATGTTGACCTTGATCACCTGACAGAAGTAGTGTTTGTCAAGTTTTCTCCACTGTAAAATGACTCTTCCTCCATCCCCACCTCCTTTTCCATGCTGCGCTGTTTGGAAGGAAGTCATTATACACAGCCTACACTTAAGAAGTGGGGGTTATACTTCATCTCCTTGAAAGCAGAGTATCTACATAAATTCTTTGGGATTCTTCTGCAAGGGAAATTTGTCTCTTGTCCTCCATTTATTAATTTGTTCAATCACTTATGTATATCAGTATGGACTCAGGGTATTTATTTTATGCTTTACACTTTGGGTTATAATCCAATACTATTTTTATTTATTTTGATGCTCAAATTGTTCCAGTTTTGGCTATTGGAACCTCTTTTAGTTGGTCCCTGCGTCTCTTTGAAATACCCCCATCACTCTGGTGGTGATTTTTTGCGGTGGGGAGAGGTCTTGGGATTTTATTTTGTTTTGTTTTAGTTTTGAGTGCTTACTTTCTGGCACTACAAGGTGCTGTAGGCTCATCTTGTGTATTTCCTGCTTCAGTCCTAGAACCAGCCATTTCTCCAAGGAACCCTGATTCCTTTTATTGGAGAATTTTATTAGAAACCAAGATCTAGGTGATCTGGGTACTGAGTGTGCTCCTTGCTACTGGGGTATCCTTGCTTCTAGGCCCTTTCAGCTGACAGAGCAAGGAGGTATATGTGTGTATACTAATCTGTGTGTATACACATATCTAGAAATATTTCTATATGTAACCATCTGTCTCTATATGAAGCTGTAGTTCTTACCTGTATCCTCAACTGATAGGTACCTTATTGTTTTAATTTGCAATTCCTAATAACAGACGGTGTTGAGCATCTTTTGTGTGCTTACTTGTATATCTTCTTTCATGAAGTTGTATGTTTAGATTTTTTTTGCACATTTTTTAATTGGCTTATTTTAACGTAGAGTTTTACATACTTGGGCTGTTGCCCATAGGTTAAAAAAAATTACATTTTACATCATTACTTAGTGCACACACACACACATTGGTGTGTGGTGTGTATATGTACATTAAAATAAGTATCACTGAACAATACTTCAGTTTATTCCCTGGGATAGGCGCTGATATTTTTCATTATTTCATTTTAAAAAATCTGCTGTGTCTCACAGCCTGACAGAGCACACTCTGATACAATGTCCCACAAGTCATATCACCCCACACCATACTGGCACTGTCCTCTTGTCCACTTAAATGCCCCAATACTTCCTCTACCCTGTGCACACACAGCTAACTTCTGAGGTGGTCTTTTCTCCTTGTCCCATTTGGGAATAGGTGAGGAAGGCCTCACCAATTGAGTTGTCACTGGGTGAGGCTTCTTTAAATTCTGGCCTCAGCTGGAATACACCTGGCTACCCCAGACTTAGTACTTCAGTGAGATGTCTTGGGTTTGGGAGCCGGGCTTCTGAGTGTAGGAGTTTGAAATGACAAGTCCCACAACCCAAGGCTGCCTTCCCCCAGTCCCTGATGGATAGGCAGCCTGCCCAGGGGGTTGCTTAGTAAGAGTACCTGCCTCCCTGTCTCCTCTCTTCTAGGCCTGTGGGCCCACCTCCTCTAGCCAGTTCTGGCTCTTGGCCAGACTTCAGAGTGTCACCCCACATCCCTGTTCCTCCCACACCCCCTTGTAGTTTGCAGAGCAGTCCTTGATGAAGAATGCCATAAAAACATCAGAGGAGTCATGGATTGAACAGCAGATGCTGGAAGACAAGAAGCGGGCCACAGACTGGGAGGCCACAAACGAGGCCATTGAGGAGCAGGTGGCTCGGGAATCCTACCTGCAGTGGCTGAGGGATCAAGAGAAACAGGCCCGCCAAGTCCGTGGCCCCAGCCAGGTGGGTCCTGGGCTCTGTTACTAGACTGGCCAAGAACCCATTACTTCCCATGTTCTGCACCAAAACAGGCAGAATAAAATTAAGCGGTTTTGACATCTGGTAGAGAAGGAACCTCCTAACCCTAGTCTGTACAGGATCTTGGCCTTAGTCTTGGCATTGTGCCTTAGAACTTTTAACATCTGTGCAGAACAAGCTCTTTTTAAGGAGTGAGGGAGGGCAGCCATTGGTAGTGACCTGCAGGATTCATGGGTAGTTTCAGAGGGACAAGCTTTTGCTGGATGTTCTTGTGTGCCAGGCTCTGTGCTGAGGATGTAAAATCAGGTCCAGGCCGCTCCACCCTCAGTGATCTCCTATCTGTTGAGGGAGACAGATGCATCAGTGGAATCCTTGACCCTGGCTGAGAGACCAGTGAAGGTGGGGGCTCTGGTCAGTCTTCATGCAGAAAGGTTGAATTTTTAAGTCAGGCAGTGGGGCAGGGCAGACAGGCATTTGAGGAATCACAAGGAGTTTAGAGTGATTATAGATGTTGGCAAGAGCTAAGTAATGCATTGAACAAATATTTATTGCAAGTCTGTGCCAGGCAGTGTTCTCAGTGTATAGGGGTACATTGGTGAGCCGGGCAGTCCCAGATCCTTGTCTTTATGGTGCTTACATCTTTGTAGAGTGTAACAAAATAAACAATAAACAGTAAACATAAAGAATAAGTTAATTGAGAGGTGGTACGGATGGAAGATGTAGAGCAGGGTAAAGGGAGTGAGTAGGGCTGGGAGTTCACAATATTAAGTTGCATTGTCAGGGTCAGCCTTAGAGCAGATGAGATTTAAGCTAAAGCTTGCAGAAGGTGAGGAAATGAGTTAAGTGCCTGTGCCAGGGAAGGCAGAGGGTCAGCAGGAGCAAAGACCCGGAGGTAAGTGCATACCTGGTGTGATTCAGGAGCAGCCCGGAGGCCAGTGTGGCTGAACAGAATGTGGTAGTAGATGGAGTTAGAAAAGTGGGGTGGGGGGAGCAGATTGGAAGGGGCTTTTGTGGGCTGTGGTAAGGACTTTGGCTTTTATTCTGAGTGAGGCAGAAGCCATGAGAGGGTTGTGAGCAGAGGAAGAATGGGATCTGACGTAGGATTTAACAGGATCCCCAGACTGCTAAGAGTAGAACAGAGTCTAGGGGGCAAAGGTAGAAGCAGGGGGACCAGCCAAAGAGAAGGCTGCTGTGGTATTCTTGGTGACTGATGATGGTTCTGGCAAAGGAGAGGGTGAGAAGGGGATAGGTTTGGATTTACTTTAAAGGTGGAGGTAACAGGTTCCCTGTCAGATTGGCTTTATAAGGATGTGAAAGGGGGTTAAGGAGCTTACCTTCATCCTGTGACCTGTTGTGTGACTAGGAATGATGGTGGCCTATGTAGAAGCTGTGTCATAGCCAGGATTCTGGTGTGGAGTGAGCCCTTTGGGGATGGGGCAGAGGAGTTGGTACTTACCTCCTTCTGGTGTTGGTACTTACCTCCTTCTCTCCCACCACAGCCCCGGAAAGCCAGCGCCACATGCAGTTCTGCCACTGCAGCAGCCTCCAGTGGTCTAGAGGAGTGGACCAGCCGGTCCCCGCGGCAGCGGAGTTCAGCCTCATCTCCTGAGCACCCTGAGCTGCATGCCGAGCTGGGCATCAAGCCCCCTTCCCCAGGCACTGTCTTAGCTCTTGCCAAACCTCCTTCACCCTGTGCACCAGGTCAGTGACTCGTTGGCAGGGAGTGTGCAGGGGTTAGGAGGTCCTGCCTAGGTCCTGGGCCCTGCCTCTGACTCTCCATCTGCCCCAGGTACAAGCAGCCAGTTCTCGACAGGGGCCGACCGGGCTACTTCCCCCCTTGTGTCCCTCTACCCTGCTCTGGAGTGCCGGGCCCTCATTCAGCAGATGTCCCCTTCTGCCTTTGGTAAGCCTCCTCTGTCTAGGGGCCAGGGACCAGCTGGGAGTTGGGGAGAGATGGAAGAAGCAGAAAGTCCTGAGAGGGAGCTTCTGGAGCCTCTGGCCATCTCCCAGGGAAAGAGACTTTCAGGCTCAAGGGTCTGTCCCAGAGGGGCTCTGAGTGGGGTGATGTGGGCCCAGAGGAGCCTTTTCCTTGGAGAAAGGAATGAGACCCCTGGATGGGATCTCTCCAGAGCCAGGGGTCAGTGAAGGTCAAGAAGGCAGGCTGAGAGTGCTCTGTCATCCTTTTTCCCTTCTTGCCCAGCAGGTCTGAACGACTGGGATGATGATGAGATCCTAGCTTCGGTGCTGGCAGTGTCCCAACAGGAATACCTAGACAGTATGAAGAAAAACAAAGTGCACAGAGACCCACCCCCAGACAAGAGTTGATGGAGACCCAGAGACTGGAGACCGTCTCCCAACCCCCACCACTCCTGCCCTCTGGTGCCACCCTACCTTCTTTGGCTTTCTTCTCTCTTGCCTTCTTCCTTCTTCCCTCTCTCCCCTCCTTTCCTTCCCCACTTCCCTCTGGCTGGCCCACCCTTGCGCGCCCTCTCATCGCTGCCACCACCACCATCACCTGTCTCTTCGCCAGCTGATGTGCCCTCTTGCCCCCTGCACAGCACCATCCCTGCATTCCACAGGGGACTCGGGCAAGGGTGCTGAAGGTAGGCGAGAGGCACACAGAGACAAACCAACTGGCAGCCAGGCAGCCCCTGAAGACAGACATTCAGACAGAGGGAAGTCTCCCTGCCCCCAATTCTTTCCAAGATCAGAAAATTGTCACCCCACCTCCACAGTGATGCCAGGGAGGTGGGAGGAAGAAGTGGGAATATCCCCTTCCCAGTACCCCCAAGAATGTCTGAGCCTTCAATGTTGAATTTTTCTTTATTAAAATGTACTTTTATCTTATAAAATCATTCAATCAAAAAGTGATGTAGACAACAGTATTGGCTCTATGAAGGCGGCATCTCTGGTTTGGGGGCAGGCAGGCCACGGGGCACAGAGGGGGCACAAAGATGTGTTTGTTGTCCCTGGCCTCCAGCTCTGTGGAGGTGGGCAGGGTCTAGGGCGTGAGCCGGGGATGGGGACGAGGGGGGCAGGTGTCAAGTGGGCTTTTTTGGACAATGAGACTGACCTCGCTGCATTCCTTATGCTTCCACCACCACCACTAGTCTTTTTCGGGGTGGGGGGCACCTTTGAGGATCATGGCCGCCGCCCAGGATTTGAGTGTGGGGAGTGGGAGCAGCCTCAGCAGATGGGGCACCCGTGCCCTGCAGGTGTCGACAAGATCCGCCATCTGTAATGTCCTTGGCACAATAAAACCAAATGTCAGTTTCCCCTGAGCGCCTCTGTTCTGTGTGGGGCAGGGGGTGGGTGGGCCTCTGGGCAGAGGCGGTGATGGCACAGGCCTTGGCTTGACCTCTGGGGGCCGCATGTTCTCCAGTAGGGTCTGTGTAGGGGCCCAGAGTTTGTTCATATTTGATTCACTGCTTACTAAACTACCTTCTGGACATGTTACCACCAAGAAAGCTCTGTCTTTGCCCGCTGTCCCTGCCTCGGTATTGGCACAGGATATAGCCTGCCCACCCTATTTCCTGGGGTGTAATGGGAGCAGAGAACTGTGAGCTTGAGGGCAGGGACTGAACTTCCAACTCCTCTGACTGCCTCTTGCCCCGTATGTTTTTGCTCGCTCTTTGTGATTGTTTGATGAGGAAATGCTTTAAACAGGCACAATGGTTTCTTATTAGCAACATGAGTTTAGTGGAAGTGACCAGAGGGGACCCCCTCACTGGGTTTTAGAAGCTAGGGAACAGCTAAACCCTTTTTTGTTCACATTCCCCAGTTCTGTTGATAACTTCTGTCCCTGCCCTTCCTAGGGGTAAAGCCCAGGTTTTGTCAGTTGTCTTTTTTGATGTCCCTCAATAATGGGGTACCCCTGTGGAAGAGTGTGTGTCCAGTTCCACAGGTGAGGGTGTGGCTGTCTGCAGGGTGTCTCTGGAATCCTCTGGTCAAGCACGTGTATGTTGGAGAGTTGGCTTGAAATCTTGGCTTTTTCTAACTGTGACTCACAACACAGGCTCTCAGTTTCAAGTGTCCCATGTACTACCTCACGCTCTCTCTGGCTGTGAGCATTGAGAGAGAGTGCATATGGTCAACATAATGTATGATGGCACGGTGCCTGGCACATCCTGAGAGCTCAAATGTTAGCCGGTATTATTTATTATCCTGATGTTGAAGTTTCTGCACCATTTGGCCCCTGTCTACTTCATCCAGCTGCTCTGTCTAGTTTCCTTGGCCTTTGCCTGGAATTTGGTCTTCCCCTGTCCCAAGCCTCCAACCTTGTCTTTCAAGATGGGTAGAGGGTCTCCTTCTGAGAAGCCCCGTGTGACCCATTTATATTCTCACCTCTATCTACAAATATGTCTTTAGTCCCTCCCCGGTAACTGTACTATGAGCTTCCTGGGCAAGGGCTATGATGCCTGACTTATCTGTGTATCTCTTAATATCTGCACCCCCTCTAGGGCCTGGCAGGCTTACAGTAGACCCCTAATAAATGTTGGATGAATAAGGGAGAGTACATGTGTATATTTGCTTTTTGGGTGTGTGTTGGGGGGTGTGCGCGTGCACATGTGAGAGACTGCGGTGAGTCCCAAGTCTTCATGCGCATCTCACAGAGTGTCTTTCTCTAGTCGTTTGTGTGAGACGAGGGCTTGTTTCCAGGTGTGTCAGATGGTGACTGAGTGTGGGACTCTATCTCTGACAGTCTGTGTCTGTTTCTGAGACAAGTGCATGTCTGCGTGGGTCTGTCTGTGACAGTGCATCTGTGGTTTCTTTCTGATGGGATGGATGTCCGCTTGTATTCCTGTGACAGATTCTGGGTAGCTATTTCTGGACAGTTACAGCAACAATGCTGCATGTCTGCTGTGTTATGTATCTGTGACTGGGTCTATCCATGTCTGTTTTTGTGGCACTGCCTATCTGTGGCTCTATCACCTAAGTGTATGTCTGCCTTTGGAGCAGTGCATGTGTGTCTCTGGAGCATCTGTGTGTCTTCCTGTGACAGACTCTGGGTCTCTCATTTCTCAGTACAAGTCCTTCTGTGACAGTGCATGTCTGATGGTGCCAGTATCTTTGTGACAAGTTTTGGCGGTGTGTCAACATTTCTGTGTCCTTGTCACATGGCAGTGTAGGTCTGTGAATCTCTGGAGTGCCAGTGTGTCTCTGGGACATAACTCTCTTTCTGGCAGACTGCCTGCCTGACAGTGGATGTCAGTCTCTGTGTGACAGTGTATGTCTGCATGTGTGTCTAGGACAAAATCACGTGAATGTGGTGGTACACGTTTGTGTATTTCTCTCATGGTACTTCTGTGTGTGTCTTTGGAGTGCATGTCTCTTTCTGCAGCACGAGGCCTGTTTTTTCCCCAGATTTGTGCCTGAGGTATTTTACCACCTCTCCGAGCTCCCTCAGTCCCTCTCTCTCATCTGGAAGCACCCCCTCCTCCAGCCACCACCACTCTGGCTTGCTCCTATACCGAAGAACCACCTCCCCACCTCCCGCCATTCCAGATTCTAGACCTGCTGACTGGGCTCACAGCCAGGTCTAGCCAAGTCTGTCTAGGTTAAGGGCCCCCAAAACACCCTACAGGCCGTGGCCTCCGGGTTTGGGAACGCCGCTTTTGACCAGTGCTTTCCCCGCGGTGGTGGTCAGGGAGGTTAGCCACCCCCCCGACGGCTGAGCAGGTTCTTGCAGGATCCTTGGTTTCCGGACGGAGGCCGCCAGTTGCCTGGAGGACTCGTACTGGTATGAGGAGCACCCTTCGGAGACAGGGTCCTGGATAGCCACAGGCCCGGATTCTTAGAAGCCAGGCCTGGCGTTATCTCCGCGCTAATCTCGAAGCAGCGGAAGTAAGCCAACTTCCTAGGCGGTGCAGTTTTTTTTTAAGTTTATATATGCATATACACACATATATAAAAACAACCCCGAGCAACAACCAAAACAAAAACGCGGTTGCTGCAAGAGGGATTCCCATAACCAGTTTCCTCTTCGCGCGCGCCCTCCTTATTTGCATGCAGACCCCGCCCCCGCGGAAGATTCGGGCATTTATTTGCATAAGGGGGTACTTGAAACGTTGAGGGTGGTATGCAAATAAGGACGGGCTCCGATTGGCTGGGGTACAGCAGGTGCCGCGTCCGGATGGGCGGGGCCGTCGCCCGGGGCGACTCTCTCGGGAGGCGCGTGCCCCGTCTCAGTAGCGTCGGGGCTGGCGCGCGCGGCGAATCTTAACATTGCGCTGTTTGCCGGCGCTTCTGGGCCACCAATTTCCTCACCTTCCACCCTGGCGCCCCCCAGTCCTGGCTCCCCGGCCTCGCTACCCCGGGCGTCCACGCCCTGTGGGCTAAGCGGGCTCAATCTACGCAGCTCCTCCTCCATGTTGACTAAGCCTCTTCAGGGGCTCCCAGTGGCCCCCATGACCCCCACGCCGCCACCAGGTGAGAGAGGCTCCGCTACCGCGACCAGGCCGGGCGGGCTGAAGTGGTTGAGGGCGGCGCGGGGGGAGGGAGAGGGGTTCGCGGCCGCCTCAGCACGCCACCACCCTGACTTCCTCGCCTCCGCCTGCGTAGGAGGCAAGGATCGGGAAGCGTTCGAGGCCGAGTACCGACTCGGCCCCCTCCTGGGTAAAGGGGGCTTCGGCACCGTCTTCGCAGGACATCGCGTCACAGACCGACTCCAGGTATCCACCACAAGGGTCTTGGGACGGCCAGTTGTGTGTGTGGCGGGGGTAGGAGTCCCGGGGCTGGGATGCTAATTGACGAGGGAATGAGCCTACAATGTGCGTGTGGTAGGGTCATGAGGACCAGGATCCGGGTTGCTGGGGGTGTCTGAGGGAGCGGGCGCGCGCGCGCGCTCGCGCGCGCGCGTGTGACGGTCCAGGTGGATATGTGAGGGAGAAGGGGGTTTCAGGGCAACGATTCCGGAGGTCCTGTGTGTGAGACTAAGGCGGGGGGGGGTGGTCATGAGGACTATAGACCTTGGGATCCAGGGGAGTATATATGTGTGAGAACGTAGGGACCCAGAGCTGAGATTTGGGAGATTTTGGAGGCAGGTGTCCAGGGTGGGTTGTGAGGACCAGAACCTCACTGGTACAGATTTGGGGTGTCCTGGGGCTGGATGGGAAGATCGGGAGCTTGAGGTGTTAGAAAATTCAGAACCCAATACCTGAAGTGAGGAATCCTGAAGCCTGAGAAGGGAGAACCCGAGCCAAAGATGGTGGGAGAGGTCTACTTGATTCTGGGGACTTGGAGGGCAGGGGAGAAGCTCCAGCTAATTTTTGGGTTGTGGTGTGGGGTGGTTGGGTCCAGAGTGGGAGGGGTCTGGGGGTCATCTGCTGGCCCCCTCACCTCAGCCCGCCTCTTCAGGTGGCCATCAAGGTGATCCCCCGGAATCGTGTGCTGGGCTGGTCCCCCTTGGTGAGTATCTTTGGAGTCCTTTTTGACCTGGCGACGCCATCTCTGATGATGGATTTCGCCTTTCTATGGTTTGTATGGCTCCCTGGGCCCTGTAACGGTGAGAAGAACACTCCTACCAGCCCATGTTTACTCCCCTGTGGTGACATCCACACCTCCATACAGTTCTGACTCACCCCAGTTCCCCCAGAGCCCTGGATTCTCCCCTCCCACCCTCCTTTCTCATCCTCCCTCCAAACACTGCCTCAGGGGCTGCCCGCAGGGCATGCTGGTGAGGAAAGAGGGGCAGAGGTCACTGGTTGCCATGGTGACGGTGGCTGCTTCTCTTGTGCCGTTAGAGCGCTAACGGACAACAGGGCGGGTCTGGGCAAGTTGTAGGGGCGGGAGCGCCCCCTGGCGGGCTCTGGGGAGACTGCGCCTGCGCAGGTTGTGGGACCCAGAGGGAGAAGGTGCGCCTGCGCAGTACCGGAATTTTCATCACCGTGAGAAAACCTGTCCGCAGCTGTGCTAGTCCTCGGACTCGCCGGTAGAGGGCTCTAATCTCAGACAGGAGGCTGCTTCTGGCAGGCCCTGTGCCCATGCAGGGCTTCTAAAGTGGGACGGGTTTTGTGGCCAGTAACATTTATGCCTTTCATTGAACACCGACTGTATGCCACAGACCTTGCTTTATCATAAAAGCTTATTGTGTTCCAAGCCCCACTGAGTACTTCATTCAACACAGTTCTAGGTGCTTGGTGACAGGGACGAAATTATCACATGATAACATTATTTAGTTCTTTGTGCCAGTTCCTTTGCAATTAATTACTTCTAGCTATTTAGCAGATGTATATTGAGCACTTAGAATGTGCCAGGCACAATTCTTGGCACTTGGCAAAATATTACATTTATTGAGAGCTCTTTTTATGCTAGTCCTTCTACTGATTGCTTTCATCTGCTTAACAAATATGTATTGAACCTTACCCTGTTACCAGGCATTGTTTTAGTGCTTGAGCTATGTCGGCGAACAAAACAAACCATTACACAATAATAGTATTTATTGAGTGCTAAGTCTGTGTGAGACCCTGTGCTATAAAGTGCTTTCATCTATTTAACATTTATTCACACCTACTATGTGTAAGGCACTAGTCTAATTTCTTTTAGATGTCAGTGAACAAAACAGATAAATTATTACATAATAGTGTTCATCAGTTGCTTCTTCTGCTGAAGGCCTTTTGTTAAGAACCACTTCCATTTATTCTTTAAATATTTACTGAGCTCCTATTACTTGGCAGATGTGTATAGGCTTTTGGCTTGAATCACCTTTCCAATGACTGTGAGAGTTTGAGCCCT